GCTGTGGTATATTTGCACAATGGAATACTATGCTGAATTGAAAAACAAGGAACTCATGCAATATTATTCAAAATGGTTGACTCTGGAGAACATTATGCTGAGTGAAATATCCCAGTCACAAAAGGACAAATATGGCATGATGCCACTGTTGCAGAATGGGACTAACCTCAGGGTTGGGGAGAGACTGAGTAAGATGGGTTCAATAATGTATACTGCACTGAAACAGAGGAGGGAGAAAACTGTTTAAAAGAGATATGTGACTAGGTATTTCTGTCATCACAGGAGTCTAAAGCGATGGCTACATGGTGGAGGGGACCTGGGGGAGGGTTTGTAAAACAATGAAAGAATCTTTTCTTTTACTTTTCCATAATTTTTGACTCATGTACTTATAACTTGTTAGTCAAATTTGTGTCTTCTAGGTTGCAACACCCCCATGATACATCTTCAAGGATATGAACATGTATGGCTAAGCACAATTAATAACAGTGCATCTAAATTCCGAAATCAATCTCCATAACAGTCTATGTATTTCTTACTGCCAAAGGGGCCCTTTAGAGTAGTGAGAGAAGATCTTCACCCCGAAACCCACAGCGTCCCTTTTCAGCAGGAAGTAGCTAAGAGAATACACCATCTCCTTTTCCTTATGAATCAGGGTGAAGTCTCTCTCAGGGAGGAGTGATAGGGAATGGCAAAGGACACACTGACAAAGGAGATTAATCAGAACTGGCTTTGACAAGCACTGTGGCAATTGGACAATTAAAACAGACATTGGTGGAGGGAAAGAAGAACGAACTGGAGAGGAGGGTAGAGAGAATGGTGCAGCAATGAAGGAATGAAAACCCAAAATCCCTGTAAATGTTCATTAAAACTAATAAAATTTAATAATAATAAAAAAATCTCTAATTTCCCAGATAGGGAGGCATTTCAACAGATTTCCTTTCTCACACCTGTCTGAGTCTGGATAGAGGGGTTTTCATCTGAAGCATACTGACAAATTTCTGGGCATTTAATAGAGACATGACAGGCCAGATCCCAGCCACAGTACCCCTCAACCCCCCAATCTCACAGGATTGCTAATCTACTTGTAAGCCTAGTGGCAACAAATCTTTCAAGAGGCTCTTTGAAAATGTTTTATGACATGAAGGGCTGCAAGGCTCTAGCTGAACAAATGGAAAACTTAGTCTACCCGAAAAGATCCAAGGCAAGTAATTTGCTCTCACCTTGCTTCATAAAAGTACTTAACCTCTAACATCAGGCTCCCCAAAATATGAAGAAGAGGGCACCACTTAAAATGCCAACTTGGAGACAAAAACCTTTCTCTTTAATAATCACTCATGAAACGGTGCCATCAGCCCTTCTGCTTGGGATGGGAGTCAAGGGTCCGTTCAACAACAATAATTAACTAGCCTTGAATTTGACAGATTTGAGCCAGGCGACTTGCAGGGCATTCATTCTCTGCCCAAGAAGACCCAGCTTCAGCCCCTTGCTCTTTGCACAGAAATTTTTCCAGATATTGACTTTGGATTTTGTGGGGAGGTTCACTTTTCCCCTCTTCTGATGGAACAGTCTGCTTTTCTGTCTTGTTTTCCCAAATTCCTAAGCTGCTTCTCTCTCCGTGAGAAAGACCCTCTGGGAACCCTTTCTTAGCACTCTTGTTTGTTTCTTTTGCCTTTTACGGTCCCAAAGACTTCTCCTCTTCTTTTCATTCACTGTATTCACACACTCATTCATCAGTCTCACCTGATCCCTTCAATAGATTCATTAAGTAATGTTTGTGCAGCAGGAACTAAGATGCTGAACCTGAGGGATGGAGTAGTACACAGAAGGGGATTCCACAGGTACTGTGGGGTCACAGGAAGTGGAGGGGGCTTTGTAATTGTGAGCAGAAGGCAGAGAAGGGGGGCAATGTGGATGCACAATAGGACTGGAATCTTCTTCTCGACATTGAAGAAGGATTTGCTGGATAGAGTATCTCTTATGATCACTTACGTCCCCAAACATTATGTGTTCAAATCCTAAACTATATGTTGTTGTCGTTGTTGCTGCTGCTCTGCTGCTGTTGTTAGGTTCTGTCAAGTTGAGTATCACTTAGCGACCCTATGAACAAAAGCTCAAACCCTGTTCCACCTTTGCCATCTTCACACTTCCTGACACACAAGACCCACTGCAGCAGTGACCATGTCAAACCACCTTCAATGACCCTCCACCCTTCCCAGCATCATGTCCCTCTCCAAAGAAAAGCCCCTCCTAGCAATATGCCCAAATTATGTGATGTGAAGCCTCATCAGTCTTGCCTCGAAAGAGTACTTCAGTTGCACCCTCTCCAAGACATATCTGTTCTCTTGGCCACCCATGGGATATTCAGTGCTCTTCTCCAACACCACAGATCAAATGCATCTATTCTTCTGTCATCCTTATTCATTGTCCAACTCTCAGATGCACAGCAAGTGATCAGGAAGACCATGGCCTGAATCATTTGCATCTTAGTCCTACAGTGACATCATTACTCCTCAATAATTTGGTGAGGTCCTCTTTACCTGGTTGTAATTCCATTTGAAATCAGGATTTGCTTTGTTATATGTTCAAAAGAGTCAGTCATTCAAAGGAGATTAATCAGAACTGACTTTGACAAGCACTGTGGCAATTGGACAATTAAAACAGACATTGGGGGGGAAAGAAGAATGAACTGGGGAGGATGGTGGAGAAAACAGTGCAACAATGAATGAATGAAAACCCAAAATCTCTGTAAATGTTCATTAAAACGAATAAAATTTAATAATAATAAAAAAAGAGTCAGTCATTGACATCAAGTTGGAAGTTAATAGCAATGATTAGATTTCTGATTTGGAGGGAACCGTCCACAAGTTTCTCAACTCACCTCTTTGCTGTTAAGTTGGGACAGAGCCTGCACTGGTCTCCAGGGCTGTAACTCAGCTGGGAGGAGATTGCTCATCTTTTCTACTTGGAGCTGCTGGTGGATTTGAGCCATTAGAATGGTGTGACCGTGGGGCTAACAGTGCAACTCCCTATGGACTAGGCCACCAGGATTCCCTTTTAGTTATGTTGTCGTTGGTTGCTGTCAAGTCACACATGACTCACAGCAAACTTATGAACATCAGGTTTGAATCCTGCCCTCTCCTGTGCCATCTTCGCCATCTCTGCCACACCTCAGCTCATTTTACAGTCACAGTGTCACAGACTTTGGCCCGGTCCTTGGAGAAGGACATTATGCTCAGCACAGTGGAGGGACAGCACAGGAGAGGAAGACCCCAGGGGAGATGGACTGACATAGTAACTGCGACAATGGGATTAGGTGTGTTGGAGTCAGTGAAACTTGCTCAGGACAGGGCAGGCTTCAGAGCTGTTGTACACAGGGCCACCATGAGTCGCAGGCAACTCAACACCCAACAACAACAATAATAAATTGGTTCCCACTCCATAACACATGACACTATAACTAACAACAGCTGCTAATGGAAAAGTCAGAAGTTCAAGAACAGATAGGAACACCTCGAAAGAAAGGCCTGGAAATCTTCTAAAAACTGAGCCAAAGAAATCCTATGGGGTACCCTTTGACTGTGGCACACGTCAAGTGCACATATAAGTTAGGGTTAAGTAGATGCTGTTGCTAGGTGCTGCTGAGCCGTTTCCAAATCACAACAACCCAAAGCTCTGGTGATCTAGTGGTAAGAAGCCGCATTGCCAGCCCAAAGGCACAAGGTTCGAATCCACTAACCATTCTATGGGAGAAAGATGTGGCAGTCTCCTCCCATGCGATTTACAACCTCTTACAACCTGTTGGAGGGACCAGCTAGGAGTTGATTCCTACTCAATGCCACACAACAACAACAACAACCACCGAAGCAGCTCCTCCAACAGAGCAAGACCCTACTCAATCCTGTGCTGTGTGTGCCTGAGTTCAGTGCTGCAACCTCAATGTCAAGGCATCACGTCAAAGGACCAGCCCTCGGCTTCACCATGTATTACGTCCTTTCTGGGGGACAACAGCCATATGCGCTCCTCAGAGCTGACCTGTCAAAGCAGGACCAAGCAGAGTGTCTGGCTGGTGCTTTCTGAGGGCAGCGTTCTCTGGACAGTCCAGGCACTACCATGCATTTTACAAGCAGGGACATGTCTCAGAACACTGCCTTTTGCTACCCAGCGACCTCCCAGCACCAACGACTTGGGTAACATCTAAAAGACATTCCCTCGCAAGTTCTTCTGCTTCGCGCCACTACCTTGCATCAAATTCCAACACCATTTTCGTTGCAAAATGCGCCTCTGGCAAGGGGGAGCGAATGACTCTCTGTCAGCGGAGCATGACATTATTGGGAGGGACAGCATTAAACTTCAGCAGTTTCGCTCTCCTCTCGCAATAGCACTTTGGTTCCCTGCTTCAGCTGGGAGTGAGGTGCACCACTTAGCGCGTCGTTTATGAGTTCATATTTTATAATTACCGTTGACAACAGGGGACTTTGATTAATACCGAGTGGTGGATTTTGAGCGATGTTCCATACAAATTGCCAAATTTAGCAATAAAATAAATTGGTTATGGGAACATAATTAGTAGGACGACTACTTAAAATTCAAAACCAAATGTGAATAGTTCCAAGTCATCTGGGCCACAAATCTATTATTTGCAGAGAAGGGGGGAGAGTCTAGTATTTAGGTTTTATTTCTCCCCCTAACAAATGTTGTTTTGCAGCAACATAAACATAATGAAACTTCTACAAAGTGGTGTGATGCTCTCTCAGAGCAGTTCAGACACAAATATACAAACGCACACACACAAACACACACACACACGCACAAGTCTTGCAATCACTGAGAAATGCCCCACTCTGAATTTTCTTTGCAAATGTTAAAATCTGTAACAAATGTCTCACAGAGAGCAGCACTCCTCTTTACCTCCCTCTGATGTGCTTTCTCACAATTATACAGCGAGTTTTGTTTTGTTTTTGTTGGGCTGTTTTGCCCCCCATGCTCAATATTCACAGTACCTTGTTGTCACCTTGAACTTCTCCAAGACGCTGCTGGAGCTCTTTAATTTCTTCTCCCAGATGCTTATTCCGGTCCTGAGATTCTCTCAGGAGTTGTGCAAGATTAGCCTGGAAATAACAACACAGGATCAGTACGCTCAGAAAGGGAGGCGTGTGTGAACTCAGGCTCCAATTGGGCGGATTGAGGCTCTGTCCACGCCCAGGTGAGCTACACACAAACCATCCGAGGAAACAGGAACATATAAATCAGCACGGCAGCGAGCGTGCAAGGAATGCAGCCTCGACCGCATGCAGGAAGATGAAGCTGGCCGTGAACTTCCTTCCATCTGGGGGTACCTGTTGTTCCTGGAATGCTCCAGAATGGCACACAGAGGGCACTAGGACCAGCTATGGAGGAGTCAGCTGTATGGGGCTTGCTTTTGTGTTTTCTTTTGTTTTTTAAAGAGCTCATCACTAAAACTATTGAGAGTAAACACAGAGTTCAATTTTGAAAACTTGGCCAGTACTAAAAGGCAAAATGTTAACTTCTTGTTTCAAGTAGTTAGCTTTATTATTTCTTTTATTTTATTATTATTAATTGTAATGAAAATTTGCAGAGACTTTGGATTTCCATTCATTCATTGTTGCATTTTTCTCTCTGCCCACCCCTCCCCTCCAGTTCACTCTTCCCTTTGAAAAATAAAATTTTTTTTCATCGTTTTACAATCCCTTCCCCAGGTTAACTCCACTACACAGCCTTCGTTCTGGACTCATGTCATGACAATAATACTTAATCACATATCCCTTTTAAACAGTTGTCTCTCTCATCTGTTTCAATGCAGTATACATCATTTATCCCATATTTCGCAGTCTCCCCCAACCCCGATGTCAGTCCCATTTTACAACAGTGGCACTATGCAGAATTTGTCATTTTGTGACTGAGATATTTCACTCAGCATAATGTCCTCCATGGTCACCCATTTTAAATAATATTGCATGAGTTCCTTGTTTTTCAATGCAGCATAGTATTCCATTGTGCGAATATACCACAGCTTCTCTATCCATTCGTTTGTTGATGGGCACTTAGGTTGTTTCCAATTCCTTGCTATTGTGAACAAAGCCGCGATAGACATGGGTGTGCATATATCTGCTTTGGTGGCAGTAATGGTCTCTTTGGAGTATATTCCCAATAGTGGAATTGCTGGGTCAAATGGTATCTTTATTTGCAACTTTTTGAGAAAGCGCCACACCACTTTCCACAGTGGTTGCACCATTTCACACTCCCACCAAAGGTAAATAAGGGTTCGTTTCTCCACAACCTCACCAGCATTTGTTGTTTGCTGTTCTATTAAATTTTGCTATTCTGACTGGGGTGAGATGATACCTCATAGTTGTTTTATTTGCATCTCTCTTAGAGCTAGGGATTTTGAACATTTCTTCATGTGCTTGTTGGCCATCTGAGTAATGTACCTTTTTCTTATGAGTTTGTCTTTGCTACTTCAAACTTCCATCATAATTTTAAAAGGTGGTCAAAGAGATGACATGTACTGATCTATCTTATATGTCAGGTTGTTGTTAGGAGCCATCGATATGACTACATCTCATAGTGACCCTGTTGAACAACAGATCTGAACCTGGCCCTGTCCTGTGTTGTCCTCACCAGGTCTGACATGCTCCAGCCATTGCCACAGTCACTGTGTCAGTTCATCTCATTGAGTGTCTTCCTTTCTTTCTCTGGAATGCTGTCAGGGGAGGCCAGTCCTTCAAAAAAGACATCATGTTGGGGAAAGTGGAGGAGTCAGAGGAGGAGAAAAGTCAGAGGTAATCTAACCATCTCCTGGAGAGCCTTTCTCGACTCCCTATTTCCCAGGGTTTGAGTCTTGCCAAGTGCACCATCACAGAGCTACCACCCATTTCTCTATAGTTTTGCAAGTTGCTATGATGCTCATAGCTCTGGTGCCCTCATCTGTAAGGAGCTGTACTGCTAACTCCAAAGCAGATGGTTCAAGTCCACCAGCTGCTCTGTGAAAGAAAGTGGGCAATCTCCTCCCATGTGATTTACTTCCTGCGCAAACCCACTGGAGAGTCAGTTACGAGTAGGTCTGACTCGTACAACTGGTTCAGTCAAATTTCCAGACTAATAAGGATGAGGAAGAAAGGCTGGTGAGCTCCTGAGAATCAGACAATGTGAACTGTACGGGAAACAAGAGTCAGAGCCCTCACTGATGGGGAGGATGACACTGGATTGGGGAGCCTTTGATCCCATTGTGACAGGGGGTGCCACGAATCAGGGGCTAAAAGGACAACAGCTAAGAGCCAGCACCACCTGAGACAGAGCCATGAACAACATAGATAAGACTCCTTCCTGGTGGTGCTCCTATTACAGTGAGGGTGAGATCAGGCAATAATAAATCAGAAAAAGTAAACAATAATAAGTAATCATAAGAAGACAGCTGAGTGTGCCAGGTGGTAATTGGGGTGGGAAAAGGTGCAGCAGGCAGAGTGGAGGGAGGAGATGGGAACTCCAAGAAGGTCCAGTTTGCATAAGGGGAGACAGTGAATGCAATTCTTGTAGACATCCTCACTCACAAAAACCCCTTCATTGCTTCTAAGTCAGAACTTAACTCCATTTATTGGGTTTGTTGTTATTGTTATGTGCCATTGACTTGCCTGCAACTCATAATGACCCTATATATAATAGCTCTGAACTTTGCCTTATCCTGAACCACTCATTGATCCTGACACACTTAACCCCATTGCCCAAGTTTCTGTGTCAATTCATCTCATTTGGGGTCTTCCTCTACTGTGCTGTTCCTCCACCCTTCCAAGCATGATGTCCTACTCCAACGACTTGTTCCTCCTCACCACATGCCCAAAGTATGTGAAATGGAGCTTCAAAATCCTTGCTTCTAAGATGAACAGGACAGCAAGTAATAAATGTTGGAGAGTATGTGGAGTGATAGAAACATTTACACACTTTTGATGAGATTATAAATGGTACAACCACTCTGGAAGGTAGTTTGACATTTCCTCAAAAAGCTGAATAGAAATTCCATATGGCACAGCTATTCCACTGCTTGGAATATACACAGAGAAAATTAGAACTGAGACACAAATGGAGATTTATATACCAATGTTCACAACAGCATTATCCACCACTGCAAGAGCATGGAAACAGCCTAAATGTCCAACCACAATAGAATGGATTGAGAAATTATGGTAGATGCACAAAGATTTTTAAAATCACTACACAACTTAGGAGGGTCTAGAGAACATTATACTAAGTGAACTAATTAAGTCCCATAATGATAAATATTATATAAAACCACTATTGTAGAAATAGAAAGATAACTAGTAAAATGTGTATGCAGATCTGAAGGGGAGTGGTAGGAGAAAGAGGTTAGGATGGGTAGGAAGGCTGCACATAGGGTCGCACAAATTGATGGGCAGAGAGAGGAACGGGTAAAGGAAATAAGAAACATCCAATGTGAAAACAAACTATACGAACTATGTAAGTAAACCAGTTGTTGCTGTTATTATTGATTGCCTTCAAGTTGAGCACAACTCATAGTGACCCTATGAATAAAAGACCTGAAGCCTTTCTATAACTATCAACATTTATCAAAGTTCATAGAGTTTCCAGAGGCACATGGTTTAGAAAGTGGATACCATTCCTGCTTCCAAACTTGTCTTAAACTGGGTGCTCTACCAAACACTGTCCACCATGGGTAACCGTTATGGCATTTGACACTCCAATGGCACAAGGTTCATAGCAGGTTACTTCAGTACAGCGTATTGACAGAAGAGTGCTGTAATATTAAGAAGAATGTTCCTCAAAAATATAATAACTTTAATTACAAAGACCCTCCCCGAGGTCTAAACAAGAGGCTCAAGTAAATTAAAAAAATAACCAATATAGCATGATGTTGTTGTTGTTGTTATGTGTCATTCAGTTGTTGTTATGTGCTGTTGAATCGCCTATGTACAGCAGTTCTGAACCCTTCCCTGTCCTGAGCCAGTCTTACTAATTCTGACACACCAACCGCCATTGCCCCAGATACTGTATTAGTCCATCTCATCCAGGGTCTTCCTCTCCTGTGCTGTCCGTCCACCCTTCTGAGCATGATGTCCTTCTCCAATGTCTGGTCCCTCCTGGCCATGTGCCCAAAATATGTGAGGCAGTGCTTCAAAATCCTAGCCTCCAAGAAAAGACTTGGTTTCACCCTCTCCAAGACAGACTGATTTGTTTTCTTGCCAGTCCATAGTATGTTCAAGACTTCTCCAGCACAAGTCAAAGGCATTGGTTTTTCTTCTGTCATCATTAGTCACTGTCCAGCTCTCTGATGTACAGCAAGTAATTGTGAAGACTATGGCCTGGATCAGATGCACCTTAATCTCTCTTGACATTGTTGTTCCTCAGTACTCTGGAGAGGTCCCTGTCAGCAGATTTTCCCAGTGTAATTTGTCATTTGATTTCCTGACTGCTGGTGCCAAGAGTTTTGATTGTGGAGCCGAGCAAGCTATAATTGTTAAGAGCCTAAATCCCTTCTCTATCCATCATGATTTTGCCAAATGGCCCAGAGATGTTAATCTTTGACTTCTTGATGTTGAGCTTTAATCCATATTGAAAACTACAGTCTTTGACATTCCGCAGCAAACACTTCAGGTCTTCCTCAATTTCAGCAAGCAAGATTGTGCCATCTAGGTAACTCAGATTGCTGATGAGTCTTCCTCCAATCCTGATGCCACATTCCTTCTCATAAAAGTCCAGCCTCCCAAATCATCTATTCCACTTACAGACTGAAAAGATATGGAGACAGGACACATTCCTGATGCACTCCCTTCCTGATTTTGAAACATGCAGTGTTTCCTTGCTCTATTCTGACAACTGCCTCCTGGTCCAAGAATAGGTTTCACATGAGCACAATCAAGCGTTCTGAGATTCCCATTCTTCTCAAAGTTAGCCATAATTTGTTGTGATCTACATAGTCAAATGCCTTTGCAGATCCATTGTAACACAGATAGACATTACTCTGGTACTCTTTGCTTCAGTCAAGATGTATACGACATTAGCAATAACGTCTCTAGAGCCACGGCCTCTTCTAAACCCAGTTTGTATTTCTAGGAGT